TATGTGTTATTGGGTCTCAGTGGCCCATTAGCATTGCTAGTAAGGTCCAATTAAATCAAATGTGAAATGGGCCAACGCGTCCTTCGTATAACCAACAGCCTTAAATAACACACGTAATTAGCAGGACTTTGTAATCCTCTTCTCCTCGTTTGTTAGGCTTACCTTCAATTCAAGTAAACAAATACAGGTCGTTAATCAATGGTAATCAATTTCGTTTGGATTAAGTGAGTAATAACGGGCGACACCTCTAAGTGTCGTTCGTAGTCTGTAGTTATAATCAAAGTCTCCTGGAGGGAGAGCGAGAGTTTGTGTATAGATCTATACGGGGGTGACTCCCCCACACCTCAGCTGTTCGCTACAGTTAGACTCGGCCAGTCTAGGGTAACAAAATCTTAAGATCAATTCCGGCGTCCGCTAGAATGCCAAGACAGACGAACTAGTCATTATCATGCATGGTTATAACGACTCACATAAATAAATGAATCCAATACTATCCGAGTAATCAAGGAAAATCATAATCATTCGTTGTGACGGTATAACAATTTGAAACAATTATATTATATTATCGGAAAACATCTCGTTTTTCGAGGAAATCAACACCATTCACTTGTACGTTTAATAACTATAATGCAAAACTTCTCATTTATACACGTTTTGAAATCATTCATGCACAAACTTATGGATTTTCACACTTTGGTATAAACAATTGTCTTTTCAAAAAATATCGGATTTTCTGGGTTTTATAAACTACACAAAACATTTTTATAACAACCCTGCTTATGAACTCACCAACATTCCATATGTTGACGTTTTCAAAATAACTTGTATACAAACACATTTTTATAAAAAAAATGTAAACAAACACGATTTTATAAAAAAAAATATAGATAAAATAGGTGTTTGTATACATTTTTTTTTGTAAAATACGTTTTTGTATACATTTTTTTTTACAAAAACGGATTTGTATATATTTATATACTTAATAATACCTATTTTTATAACTAGATATTTCATATACAAAAAACTTTTTAAAGAAAGTTTTTATATAGAAAATATAAGATTTTTATGTGAAAATACGTTTTTTTTGTATAAATATGGTTTTATAAAGAAAAAGCATATTAGAAACAGTTCTTTGAGAAAAAAATTGTAAAAAAACTAAAGTTATGATGAATTCATAATAAAATTCTAAAATTTGGGCAAAAAGGGTAAAGTTTGGACCAAATTTGTAACAAAATTTAGAATCTGGGCCAAAAGTGTAAATTTAAGACCAAATTTGTAATAAATTTTGAAATATGGGCCAAAAATGAAATTTTTTGAAAGTTGGATGACCTGTTGACCGAGTCAAAGGGTTAAATTGAATACGATTACCGGTATTTGGGACTTAATTGAATAAAAAAAATATATAGGGACTAAATCGATTATGAGGCCAATATGTAGGGACTTTATTGTAGTTTTCCCTAAAAATAAATAGTGTTGATGCAAATTTATATAAAACAGAAAAAAAAATATGGTTGCTTTCCATTTTGATATAATACTGTTTATCTAGTTTAATTTTTCGTTCGGTAAAAAAACAGAAAAATGTCTAGCTCGTCAAGACTTTTCCATGGGTTCCTTGTAAGCTTCATAACTCTTCATGGACTAGTTATCAGTTATGTTGATGTTTGACTATGATCCTGTTTGATATGCGTATGAGGTCAGACATTTTTGTCTGACCCGGTAAGAAAGAAAGAATCGGTTGACTGAGAAAAGAAGTCCTCGTATTCCACTAGTGCCCTTGCGTGTGTATCCCTATACGTGTGCGTGTGTATCGTATCCCAGCAGGAAGAATCGATCCAACACCCCTTTTGCGTCTCATTCTTAATAGACTCACATAATCGATCGATCCAACACCCCCTTTGTTTTCTTAAAGTCGATCACACCCCACCAAGAATTGCACCCTCTCATTCTCTCTAGATCGGTCGATGAACTGCCTCTCCACTTCGGTTCGAATTTAATTGCAGGTATGTTTCCCCTTCTCATTTGCGTTTATATCTCCAACAGCAGTAAGAACTCAGACCCTACCCCTTCTTCTAAATCGATCACAATTCTTCTTCTTCTTTTTTGTGTGGTAAGTGTGTTATTTTGGGTTGGGGGAGAAAGGTGGCTACTTGGTGGTGTGAGTGTGTTTGTTCTATGCTTATACTAACAGTCATTCATGCAATATGAGTATGGATGGGTCTAATTGGAATGGCTATTATCAATGTGGGGATGGGTATCTTGTATATCTTGGTGTATTATCAATCTAGCATGCCAACATGTGCAATGAAAGTTAGATACTATTTGTCTCGATTTTGATCGACTGTGACGAATTCTAAGCATATGTGGAAGTGATATAGTTGGATGTAACTGTTGGATGAGATTGGATACAATGTTGATTCACTCAACAAGGTTGATCGGTGTTGTCAAAGTTGTTTTATAGTCAAGTCTGGATGCTCCCTCTGTTCCGATTATGCCCCTGGGATATATCATTATATGTAAATGGCAAGGATGTGTTGTTGGTAGTTTTAAGTGGCTACAATTGATGTTTCTTTCACAAGGTTGCTGGTAATTCTCTTGCTTTGGATGATTTTGCCCCTACACAAGTTTTATCTGGAAATGCCTTTTGCTCACCCGTTTAGTAGAGAGTTTGGTTATATTAGTTTGATGTGGTAAGTATATATTGTATATGTTGGACATTTGTTGTTGCTATTGCATTTTTCCGTATGTGTTTGGTTTGAAATCAAGTGTCTGATCAGAAGTACAATCAAGTAGCAGAGTAAAATAATTATTTTTTTTATCAGTCAATACATTCAGTCAGATGTACAATCAAACAACATGGTTTCTTACTCAGTCATGATTTCTTATCCGAATAGACATTTCCTAGTCAGCACTTTCTCAATTAGCAACTATCAAACGGGACCTAAAAGTCAAAAGCCATGTTAAAACATAAACTAATCTCGCTACTCGTTTTCAGCTCTTTGATCAATATCACTTTTATTAAAACAATCAATTTGGCAATAACCATTTGTACCGAAACACTAAAACACCGATTACTACAAGTTCAAACCGAAATAATCAGTTTAACCCAACATTTAGTTATGGATTATATACCCCAAAACAAATAAGTGTTATGCATAGTTTGAAGCATCTTTAGTGGGAGGGAGGTTATTTAAAGACAGATTAAACTTTGCAAAAATATTATAATGTTTTGTGATTTGAGTAATAAGGTTTATGAAAAACTTTTTGGAAAGTAGTGATTTCAACCCATTCGTCAATTTTAATAATGTTTATGATTCGAGATTCATGTTTATTTTTGAAAATTGTTTAAACCAAATTTTCCAACATATCTAACGGGACTTAAGATAAAATTGCAATATCCGCTATTTTTAGTTGCTTAATAACAAGCGTCGTAAATTAAAAAAACCTTTCTCCGTTAATTCGTTCCTTAACAATTTTTTTTATTTATTGTATTGTTCTTTTATCAAAATCGCAAATTATGTAATTATGTAATTATATAATTATATGAGTATAAACAGGTCTATATAGCGTCGTAAATTAAAAAAATATCAACACCTTTCTCCGTTAATTCGTTCCTTAACAAAAAAATTTATTTATTGTATTGTTCTTTTATCAAAATCGCAAATTATGTAATTATATGATTATATGAGTATAAACAGGTCTATATATATATATATATATATATATATATATATATATATATATATATATATATATATATATATATATATATATATATATTTCATGGTAAGAACGTTTTCACCCTTTCGCCCCTTTCGTCTCATGAATACAGGAATACTTTACAACTAGATCTTGTGTACTTTTTAATGATGCCAGCAACACGACATGGATGATAATTGATATCAGATAACCTATTACTTAAAACACAAGTTATCGAAAGATTATACATGTGTGTCTATGCATGTTTAATTAATGAGGCCTTGGAAACTACTATATTTTATACGAAGAGGTAACACTTTTGACTTGTTTATATATAAGTTGGTCATTTTGAGTTTTATTTGATTATTTAACACATTAATTATTTATAAAGTTAAAAAAGGATAAGGGGGAAACAAGTGTGTAAATCTAACAAAAGTCTCCTTTCTCCCGGGCTCGATGAGTGGGTTTACATTGTGTGAAAGACGGCTTTGAAAGTTGTATCATCCAAAAATAGGACAAAACACTGGAAAGTGTTAATGGATGGATAATCAACATATATATTTATATGAGTCTCATTTGATACGTTTAGTTTATTAGAATTAGAAGTTGTATAACTCCTCAATATATCCAATGGATCACAAATAGGAATGTTGTGACCCCAACTATTGTCATAAAACTTTGATAGGATGGGATGAAATCACAAAAGAACAGAACAACCAAGATAATAGAATGAGCAGCGATGACATGATAATTAAGTTTTGTCGGCTTAAAGGAATGAAATGAATTATTCAAACAATCAAGATAAAATTCGATGACCTCCTTTGAAACATGGAGTAAAAATATAATTTCGTGATAAAATTTAAGGAGATTTGGTCATATTTTGAATTAGTTATTAAAAGAGCAAATCTATGAAAAAGTTGATCAATAAAACATGTGATGATAGATAGGCAACTGAAAAGTAAAAACCGAATAATCAGACGCCATTTCTGTTTAAAGCAATAAGAACAATAATGTTGGGCAACGAGAAACGCGTAAAAAAGGTAACGGTTACATGGGATCGCAAGTGAGAAAAGCAAGCAAAGCATAAGATATTAAACAATTTCAATAATCAATCTTGTTATTCAATCAATAAACAAATATTTGTCTGAGCCGTAGACAAATTAGGTCTCATTTTAAAAAAAATTAAATTTATTCATATATAATAGTATAATGCCATGAAACAAGACACACTAACCACATAAGATGAAATATGTTATGAATTCAAGAAGCAATAGATTTAGCAGAAGGGCAACTAAACGGGTTGATCATGTTGTGGTGGTGGCCGACCTTGAAGCATAGGGCATAGGTGGTTGAGCATCATATAGAGGCGGCATCAGGAATTCTGGAGGCTCAACAATAACAGGCGGTTCGGGTTGTTCTGGTCCTCTAGGAGGCTTCCGGGGATTAGGCGGAAACAGAATTGGAGGCTTTAAAGTTGTGGACCCCGCATAGCCACACAGTCCGTAAGTACAAAAAACAAAAAATGGGCAGCGATTGAAACACTGGCCACAATTAAACGAGTTGATATTGGTATCAACACAAACACCTCTGCAACATTGCCAATTAAACGGGCATCGAATCCCGCATAATCCACAGTTGTTCACATCCGAGGTCACCTCAACACAACGGTTATCACAACACCTTCTTCTAACCCGAGATGGGTACCCACCTTCCTCACAAACCCAACGCCGGCCCCTGCACCCTGACACTTGGCTCCTAACCCGCTTAACCCATGGCACCACAACCCGTGTCCGGTTCCCCTCGTAACCTTCCCCTCGACCAACATACAACAGAAATACAACAACCAAGAGGTTGTTGATTCGAATATGGGTTGCTCCAACCATTTGCAAGATGCATTACTTTGAAAAAAAAAAAAGGTGTCAACATATTTATAAGGCGATGAGGAGGTAAATCATGACAAACAGGAAACTAACTAATAGTCACGGGTGAGTTCATGTTTTAAGGCCGGGAGTAATTATTATTAATGTAATGTGTGAAAGAAAACGCGTTATTGGTTATGTGGGTGTGTTTTTTTTTCTTCACTATATGCGTTTTCATGTGAGTAAAGCATGATTAAAAGCCTCAAATGCCCTCTTTAGTCTTTATAGCATACATACATTCAACAAAAGGGAAGTGTGAAGATTAGGTAATGGTAAACATGGGTGGTTCTAAATAATGATGATGTAAACCAAAAACAAGTAACCAAATCAACTTGTCAGTCTTATGACTAACGGGTACAAACAAGTAACCCAACCGACATCAAGTTTATGGTGAAAATTTAAAGTAAGGGCAAAAAGGGAAATATTGGTTTTACTTGGCCTCGTCTTCTTTTTCCTCTTCCATTTGTCCATAGCGACGCTTGAACTTGGCAACCTGACCAACACTTTCAGCCATCTGGCGTCTTGCTCTGAAGTGATAAACTTTTCCAGCTTGGTGTATTTTGGTCATCATAACATGCATCAATCGCCCACTTTGGGTTACATATGAGATCCATTGCATCTGAGGGTGGATTCCTTTCTTCATTTCTTCCTGCAACTGAAACAAAATCAATCAACACTTGATACAGCTCCTAGAGAACAGACAATAAGTGAACAGTATACATTTCCTAACTGCTACACGTTATCACATAGGTGTAGTAACCATGACTCTGAGATGAGTAATCCAACCAAGCAGTGATTATGGAAACCGGATTCACCACTCTTGTACTAGACTACTACTTCTAGCTTGGTAAGGAGTTAGCATATCCAGTAGGACAAATAAGTTAGCAACAAATACACCATCTTCATTGGGGTAATAGATCGAACACTTGGTGCTCATTAAAAATAAAAACCCCTCATTTAGTTATGAAATGGAAACCTGGACCCTTGAAAATATAAGATCACGGGTTCAAATTCCCTATCAGGATGTTACTTCCTACGTTCTGGGAAGATAAACAAACGTTGATTTTCATAAGCCAAAGTAGAAGGGTGTCTAATTTGAATCCAAAACTGAACAAAAATAATTAGGGTTTTCAGTAAAACACACAGTACTGGTCGTTTATGGCTAAAACATATAAATTTTTCAGGAAAAAAAAAATGAATCATAGCAAATCAGAGATCCTACAAAGAAAGTGAAGCAAAAACGCATACAATCGAATTCAGGAGATTACGAAACGAGAAAATTTCCACATCCAATAATAGTCAACCAATTAAACCAGATATTCCCGGTAAGCAATCTTAATCAACAATGTACAAGAAGAAAAAGCTAGAAGCTCAAACCTCGTGAAAACGATGAAACTTCGGCAGTCACTGGCTCACCTTCAAGAATTCGCCGCCAGCCTCGCCTTCTCCCCTTCGATAAAGAGTGAATTACATACATCACACCCCCAGAATTATGTTTAAATGACACTTATAATCCCTAATGAAAAAAATATTTATTTGGGTGTTTGGTATCAAAACAATTAAAATTATAATTTCATATCACTCAATTCAATTTTAATAAAAAAAAAATGGATAATAACTTACTAGTATTTTTCATTTTGTACACATTTAGTCATTGAACATTTTTGTCAACATTTGATCATTTAACTTGTTTTTTTTGTCCACATTCAGTCCTTATAACCGTCTACTCCAGATTAAGCCGAAAAATAATTTAATATGATAATATAACTGTCAGTTTGTACATATTTAGTCATTAATATTTTTGTACACATTTAGTTCTTATGACCGATTTCTTCAGATTTTCCTCATGTCATCCTACGTGGGACAATCATTAATGAATAGTTCTCATACGTGGCCCGTCCTTCACTTATATCAGTAACTTAATTCACGAATCGGTCAAATAATGTTGGTACCCTAGTTTTTTCCAAGCAGAAGATGTCTTCGGCTCCAGGGTCATCTATATGTCATAGCAGACAACGAGATTCTTTGTGATTGCATCATCCTAACTCGAATTTGCACTTCCAAGACAAAAGAATTAAGGGAGACGCTAAAGGAATTTGCACTTCCAAAACAAAAGAATGCCCTAGCAAAAAGTTTCATTTATCTCCATAGTAAACAACGAGATTCGTTGTGATTGCTTCCTCCCAACTCGAATTTGCACTTCCAAAACAAAGAATTTCGTTGTCTGTTATGGAGATAGATGAAACCGAAGCCAGAGACATCTTCTTCTTGGAGAAAACTAGGGCATAAACATTATTTGACCGATTCGTAAATTAGGTTAATGATATAAGTGAATGACGAGTCACGTATAATAACACTTCATTAATGACTCTCCCACATAGGATGCAGTGAACAAAATCTGAAGAAACCGATCATAAGGACTAAATGTGTACAAAAATATTAAACCATATTTATCATAGATGATACTAAACAAATAAACTAGATATAGATATACCACAAACCACATTGATTTATAAATGATAGTAAAACACAACGACGACAACAATGGTGGTGCTGGTAGTGGCGGTGACTAAAATATTGGTGGTGATAGAGGTAGTGAATGTGGCGATGGTGGTGGCGGTGGTAATTTTGGTAGCGGAAAAAGAGGTGGTGGTGATGGTGGTGACGGCAAAGGTAGCAGAGATGGTGGTAGCGAAGGAGGTGGTGGTAGCGGCGGTGATGGAGGCGGCAGTGGTGGTGGTGGAGGAGGAGGTGAGGTGGTGGTGGTAAATGTGGTGGTAGCGCCAGTGGAGGTGATGGAGATGGTGGCGGCGAAGACGGTGGTGGTAGTGGTTCATCGCTTGGCGAAATTCACAACTATCTATATTGGCATTAAATAGCCACTTTTCTACAAGTTTTTTTTTCTTAATATCAGTAAGTCATTTATTCTTTTTTGGATCTCTTCCACAATAGTGACTCTACGTGCCTAAAATTCATAACACCTATTTGAGTCCCTCTTTCCGTCTTCTATACATCTCTATAGTGATTCAAACATATAATCGTGCTTCATTGGTGGAAGTGGCCCACAATGATAGAATTTTGGATTATTAGCCGAAGGTTAAGTATTGAACAATGACATTATTAGTTTTTCCGATGATAACCATCTTTGTTGGTATCGGAGGAGCTTGTAACGCATTTACTTTTCTCAGACTTCTTGGGTGGCTTAGCATACATATTTTCTTAAGAAAATGATTGGAAAGTGAATGACTCAATGTATATTTGTGTGAATCATGTTATTGTTTTAAGATGTTTAGATGGTAGGTGGATAAGGTGTTGGGTGAGAACTCACAAAGAGACGAGTTAAGTAGGATTGTTGGATGAGAGTGTTGTGTGGGTTCATAAACATTAGTGTTAGGTGGGAGAGTATGGTATATTTATAATAGCAATGTCAGATGGGAGAATCACTTCAAATCATAGTGGTATGAGTTTGGTGGATTCATAATATCAGCGCTAGTGATGAAGTTATAATTTGTTATATATAAATGAAAATTACATTATTTGGTTTTCCATATTTGATGTGTCACATTATGTCATCTTTAAACAAATGGTATGGATTTTTAAAGTATTAAACATAAAACTTGATACCATAAACATAAAAGTAGATCACATGAAAGTAAGTAGTATGACAAGCATGACATAAAAATTAAATAATATGATTACATAAACGTAAATTGCAAATGATTTCCTTGGCGCATCAAGTCTATTAAGGGGTTTAAAGATTATTACTTCATTGGGCCTTTCTCATTCATATGGAATTGAACGAGGATGCATTATTTTCATTCCGTATGTAGATTGATAAACCGTTGATATGAAAATTTAACAAAATGGTGAAGGTGTGTAAAACCTAGTATGGTATAATAGAGCATTGGCCTTCACACATATACAAACAATATCATGTAGATTGACAAACACTATTCATCATGCAATCATGTACATCAAAGTTGTCGTTCTTAATAAGGTATACATTCCAAGGTCCACACTCTCCTTCGCAACACTATTTGTGGGCAAGGGTAATTTCATCAATTAAAGATATTCAGATTCTCATTAATCATCATACAATATAAAAAGTAATATATGTCAATATTTGTATATTTAATTTATCTCCATCTTCACAGCTTTGAGAATACCGGTACGGTGCCATTGGAAAACCTCAATGAACATGGATATCTTTAAATTTGGTTCATTTGTTGAGAATGTGTACATAACATCTACAATATTAGAGGTCGTTATATTATAGGAAAACACACCCTTGGCTCATTTATCACAACCAATATTGTCCAAGTCATTCATGTTTTGCATGTTGAAACCAAGCCAAACGTGAAACCAGAGGTTCCACATATGTTAAAACATATTTTCCACATGGTAAACAAAAAATCCGTAAAAGAGATTTTCCACAATTCAAATTCATTATACAATAGCTCTAGCCAACACATGAACAACAAATCAAACCCATGCAGGGCCTTTATTCAATGTGAACCTAAACTTTCAAACACTCCAAATTACATAAAACACCAAACATATGCCTAGTGCTGAACCATACACTCTTGCTTCCCAGCTACGATTCCAGCCTTGTGGGACCCGGACCCATCCACATCCCTAACTTGATCAACATCTTCAACATCCCGAAGCTCATCTTCATCACCCAAGCTTCCAGCCTCTGTAACAACAACAGCACACGAGATGGCTTCAAAGATGATTGCTATGACTTCCTGAAACCTTTCTTCAGAGAGAGAAACCTCTGCTAAAAGCCTCCAAGCATTTTCCTCAGACGCACCATCATAGTCCTCCTTCCGTTTCAACACCATGTGTCCACTTATCTCCCAAACTGCTGGATTCACTTGTGTGTCTAAAAGCTCACTACTCACTTCTCCCAAAGCTTGTTTCTCCGCATAACACTGTTTTTCATTTTATTTTTTCCCATTAGAAAGAATATGACCTAACATAACACAGAAAGAAAATCAGGAAAAAAAAAAAAGGAACCTGAGGGAGGAGGAAGATGCGTCTTCCGGAATCTGATATGAGGACATTGTAAGGTATATTGTTGTCTTGAAGGCACATGCATGAATCAGAAACAACGTTTGATAAATCTTCAACTGAATATCCACCTTCAAATACAAGACCTCTAACTGGGTACTTGAGAATCTCCGAAATTACAACTCCGCCATTGAAGTCGGTGATCTTTCTAGTTGGAGCTTTTTCAATTGGAAAGGTTACAGCTAAATAGTAAGCCTGAAAGTGAAGGTGATTGATAGTGGCAAAGGCACCAAGACTATTGTAACCTACACGGAAGTATGGATTCCCAGCTTCTGATGCCATGTAAAGTGCAAGCAAGAAGCTTTCATGGTCGATCCTTTGGGGTAAACACTCCAGAATTCGAGGAATTAGAAGCACGTGTCCGTATTCGATTGGACTCACCTATTGATTAACATAGATTTATAAAGAATAAATATTTATCAATAAAAAAAACACCATATGTTTCTTAGACAATTACAAGAAGATGAAAGTAACTTACGTTTATGGCAACGACACTGGGGGAGTTATTGATGTTGATAGGAGCATTTGGATAGAATTTGACTTCACCATCTTCACTTGATTCAAACTGGAAGAGGATCTCCTCTTGCCCAACTTTAGTGAAGTTGAACTTGCTCCCATCAAACGGCTGAAGAACTTTATCCACTCGAAACTCAGTTGGTCTTTTCTTTAGGTGGCGACCCTCATTTAGTTGAGCAACAAATCCGTAATCTCCTGGAATGACCTGTTAATTGCATAGATATACATGTATATAATTAGATTTAGGGAAGATGATAACTATTGTATTTGTATGCAACAAACATTTATGAGATACAGACAACTTGATGTCTGACTACCTTTGTTTCACAGGCAGTAACATCATAGCGAAACAGGCCCCTCTCGACACGATCCTCCCACTGAAACAAACTAAGAATCTTAGCATAAAGTGACAGAGATCTAAAACCCAAAAAAGTAAATCATCGGCTTTCAGTATTACCTCTCCAAGGAGGAGGGAATCCAAGAAAGCAAAAGGAGGCTCCTTTTTGTCACTGGATTCAACCTTATCGGATTTTCTGAAAGCATACAAAGGTAGCTTTGCCCCTGAATAAAATAACAACAATACGTTAGAATGAACAACGGAGTGAAATTGTAGCAAGATGAAGAAAAAAGAGCTCGACGAAAAGCATTATAACAAACACCTGGTAGGCAACAGTCTCTCATGCAATTACGACCACAACCACCGGTCGCACCGGCGTACTCCGACTCTTCCTTTTGGTAATTGGAAAGAACAGTGGGAACCCTCTTGATCCTCAACATCTTCTTCGATTAATTGGGACGCAAGGCAAGCAAACAGATCTTGATACGAATTGTGTATATATGTGTATACGAAAAACCCCACAACTAAATAAAATGCACCTAGGCTACGAT